GGTTACATTTAAATTAACTGCTGTATTGGCCGCAAAGCCTGAAGATAAATAGTCTGGTTCAGTAAATGCTCTATCACATGAAGTGCCATCATATCTTGGATTCATATTTACCAAAGTGTTACAAGAATAACAAGGAATATAAGATTGATTTGCTGTATTTACTGCAGAGTTGAAAGTGTTGAGTGTATTATTTAATTTTTTGTTGATCTTAGTCACCATTTTAGAATGTAAATGAAAGTTGGTATGATCCATTAAATATGTACCTCTTGTAAATACCTGTATCTGTCTAAAGAATGGAATAAAATCAGTAAATACAAATCCAAACTTTGCATTGGTTGCTGGTAATGTAAATGTAAATTGAAACCATGACCTACTTAAATTAAATGCTTTGGTTGGTGGTATTTCAAATTGGAATAGGAACTTTATTAATTGAAAGTTTATTTAATTTTATGAAAAGAATAAAAAAAGCATCATGTTGTGGTGCAACAGTTGATCTATCACAATCAACTAATCAACCAAATAATAATACAAATAATAATTAATATTATTAAATTAGACCAAACTTGTTCCAATCATCTCTCTCATCTTTTTTGCTTTGTTTTCCTCTTTTGATATATCACTCCAACCACTTGATTCTTTAAATGGTATACCATTGTATCTATTTAATAAAAATTTAATTGCATGATATCCACATGTAGTACTATTTGATTGATCAATGACTTTGTTTAATTTGAATTTTAAATAATAATCTGGGTTGATTTCATCAATTAAATCTTTTAATTGTTTCATAAAGTCATCAGTTGGTTCTTGGTACTCTACTGATTTATCTTTATCTGCATCAATGTATACTGCAACCCAATGACTTCCTGGTTTGTTGTGTGGATCCAAATTCATAATAAATGACATCTTGTCTTTTGGTTTCAAATCCCTTTCTATGATATGGTTTCATTATTCTTTCAATTTCGCTATCATAAAGACCTTTGTTTGATCTTCCACTACCAATCTTTTGTTTTTTTTTCAAATCTTGAGCAAATGATACAATTAAATCAATGACACTAATTCTTTGATTCTTTACCATGTCTTTTAATTCATTTCCTAAATTTGTAGATAGTTTAGTAGAGGTCATAGTTGAATTTAAATACTCTTTACAAAATCATTTGTAGTTGTTAGATTGTTTCTTGGGACCATTTCTATTAAATCATTTGGTAAAATTTGATCAACCATTATTTGTTGTTGCTGTTCTGTTTGTTTTACTTGAATATCATCTTTTGTTAAATCAATGATCTTTTTCTTTGTTTCTTTATCCAATTCTTGTTGATTCTTTAGTAAAGATTCTCTAAAGTTGGTGTCCTGTATTGATTTGATCATGGCAACTTCATTTGGATTTGACCAAGCCAATACAGGGCTGCTTTCTTTAGAGAGATGTTGTTGTTGTTTCCTCTCATCATCTAATGCTTCTCTAATCAACTTTCTAATCAATTTTTTATCATTCTTTTTTGATCTAATGTAAACTCTATCTACTCCATGTTGTATGTATCGTCCTCTTTTATCTTTTTTTAATCTTAATGGTCTCTGTTTTTGCTTCTTGCCTCCAATCATCATCTTGTATTATTATACAATATAATTATATTTAAAACTTCATAATCATTTTATTCTTTATAATATCTGATTCTTTAATACTATTTATAGGTTGTTGTTTTATCTCTTTCTCTACAACTTCATCGTTTACAATGAAATTATTTTTTTGTTGGTGACAAGTAAACATTTCAATGAGAAATTCCATTTTTTTATTCATTTGTTCAAAGTCTTTTTTGTTATTATCTATTACTATTCTTTTCTTTTTTACAGGAGCTTTGTTTTTTGTTCTTTTCTTTGTATTATCAGAATCATTATCAGAATCAGAATCACTATCATAGATTATAAATTGATTTTTTCTCGCATCACGTGCTTTTTTTAGATTTAGAGCAGATGTAATTGATCTTTTATCTTTTTTTATATCTTGATCCATTCTCTTTATTATATATATATATATATAGAATAATTTATTATATTACTATTTTTACACTACTTTTATAATACTTTTTCACTACTTTATTTAAAGACAAAATAGCGACAGCAAATCACTTTTATTAGAGTAATAGTAAATTATAGTAATTTTATAATCATGTTTTATAAAAGTATGTTGATTACACATAAAAATATATTCTATATAAATTCACACAATAGAATCAGTGGTACTAATTCTAAATTTAAATATAATATTATATATTATCCTCAAGACAGGTTTGACAGAGTGGCATTATTACAAGCGACAATACCAAAATCATTTAATACAGTTGGAAGAGGATTAAATACTTTTGAGTTGATTGAAGATGATCAATCAACTATTATTTCTATTCCTGTTGGTAATTATTCAAGAAAATCATTACAAGACACATTGGAAAAGCAATGGAATGCAGTGTCACCAAACAATGTCAAATATGCAATTAGTTGGCCGACATCACAACAACCAAATACTATATTTACTTGTGCGTCAACAAGATCCAGAATATTCAACCAATCGTTTCTTTTACTAGTAACAATCTTTTGTTTCGTCATTTAGGTCTTAATAAAGATTCAACAACCACCCACCGGATTCTTAATATCCATTATATGTTTGTGTTGTTTGGTTTGTGCTAAAAAAAATATATATTTTATTTTACAATTGTTTTTGGATCAGAATTAATTATTGCATCCTCACCGCTTATCACAGGATACAAGACAGAGGGGGGGACAGAGCTAAAAGCCATTTTGAGTGCATATTGATGCACATTTTGAGGGGCTTTTACTTTGTTTTTGGTGGTGGTCTTCTTGCCAGGGTTATTGGCGTCAGGTTGTGTTTTGGCTTCCACATATTCTTGGCGAGGGAACGAATCAAAGAGATGAGGAGGGACGACAAAAAAGAGGTGGAATTGGGTACCAGCTGTTGTGGATGCATCAGTTGTTGTTGTTGCTGTTGTTGTTGTGGTTGTATCTGTTGTGGTTGCAGCGGGGTTTTTTGTAGATGGATCAAGATGGAAAGTGATAAAATTGAGCTCTTTAAAAGAGACAGGATGGTTGTTGGTTTTGGTGATTTGAAATAAATATTGTCCCATAAACGAATCAACTGCTGGGAAGTTTAAATCGGTTGGTCTAACATAGGTGTCAGGTGGGAAACGATTTTTGGAGGCAAGTCTAGAAGCTAGCTCGGTGGTACCCTGAATCGAGTCGCATTTGGCGGGGGCAAAGTGAAGGTATTCGCCCAGATTGCCTTTCCCATCAAGTGATCTGATATGAAATTCACCGCCATTAATAAGAGTCTGGTGAGACAGCTGCTCAAAGAGCAAACCTTCGATCTGACTTGTGCCAACTAGAGAAACTTTTCTGATAACTTCTTCCCTCCAATTCCAATAGAATCTTTGAACCAGCTTTTCTTTGACGTAGTTGGAAGCGAACGAGACTCGTTGGCGCACAAAATCTGTGCCTGGTTCGGCGTCCAAATGAATCACTTTGTGACTTCCAGACTCTGGAGAGTCTGGCATGTTAATACTGCTAATGCATGCTTCAAGGTTTGTACTGGAGATTGCATTGACGAGAAGTTCTTGATCAGGTCTACTGATTTTATCAAGTACATATCTAAAGAATTAAGGAGAAAGTAAGGAATAGGTCAACAATGAATGGTACATAATTATAATTATAACTATATATTTTCGCATACCTAGGTATTCCACCCCATCTAAAGTATCGACTTTGAACATCTTGAATTGGATGATCAAATATCAAGCAGTTTGAAGCCAGAATCTCCAATGATGACCATAGTGGCATGATAATTCGACTTGTTTTTCCATCCTGAAGAAAAAAAAAGAATTGATTAGAACGAGTTTTAGAATCAATTAATTAATGGAATTAACGAACCTTCATGTACTCCTCATAATTTGACTTGTTTGGTGACGACACAATCAAAGTGGGTCTTTTGGATGGCAGTGGGCGCTGACCATCAACGAGGTAAAGAGATGATGAATCTGGTCGAAGAAGGATATCCTTGAAAGAGGATCTATCTCCTTGGTGAACGATTGGACTCCCATCCTCGGTATAAGTAAAGTGGTAGACGGGTGCATCAACAACATCGTATATTATTGATTTGACTAAAGGGTCGCTTCTCTTGCGGTACAGGTAGTAGAAAAGAAATACTGATTTGCCGATACCAGGATTTCCTTTTACCAGTACAATTGAACCTTGACCATGAAGAGCTTGGTGATTGCTGATGATATCATACACAGGGATATAACAATCTCGTACATAAATCTTGTTGTATTTCTCTCTCTTTGTTGGGAATAGTGACTCACTCAATTTGAGACAACAAATTGTCGAATCAGAATCCAGAGTAGATTCTCCAAGAGAGACTTTTTGTTTCACTGCTTCCTCAACTATTTCGGCCATGTTAAGTTTATTCCAAAATATATTCACATTTGGATCAGATACTAAAAAGAGTGAGAGTTAAATTAGTATGCCATACAATGGAAGTATGAAATGTTTTAAAAAAGGAATGCGATAGGAAGAAAGTTGTAAAAAGATGATAGTGATTTTTAATTATCTGATGGATATAGGAAGTGCTGTTAACCGGATAGGGGAGTGAAACAAACTAATAAAATTGTAGAGGTTTTGAGTGCCCAGTGATATGAATGGTTGATATAATATTAGGAATGGTTGGAGATGGATTGACCAACAACAATGAGGCAAGTGAGGGGCCTATAATGTGAGGAACAAACAAGCAAAACAAAATGACTAGATTTGAATGATGGTGATCGGTTGATGCACCAATTAGATATGTTTGACAAAAGGAGTGGATAAGATGGAAAAAGAGACGGGTGATAAAAATAAAAGGATGTAGAGTGATAAAGAGGGGAGTAGCTTGGTGAAGGGACCATGGTATTTGGTTTGTTAAAAAGGATTATAAATATATGAAAGAGGTCAATGATATGTAAAGATGAACAAGCAAAACAAAATGACAAATGTTTAGTGTTAGGTTGGTACGACAATGGTTGGAAGTAGACAATGAGGCAAGTGGTTAAAAGGAAAGAGATGGGTGTGCATTGATTGGTAATGAAAACAAAAAGATAATCAAAAGAAATGGTGTAAAAAGAGGAGCAATGATAGTGATTTTTAATTATCTGATGAAACAAGAAAGTATTGTCTACTGGATGGGTGTGAATCAAACCAACAAACAAAAAGGTGGAGGGGTTTTAGTGAATATAGCCAGCGATATTAATGGTGATTGGTTGATATAATTTTAGGAATGGTTGGAGATGGATTGACCAACAAAAATGAGGCAAGTAAAGGGCCTGTAATATGAGAACAAACAAAGCAAAACAAAATGACTAGATTTGAATGATAGTGATCGGTTGATGTAGCAATTAGGTATGTCTGACAAAAGTAGTGACTAAGAGGAAAAAGAGATGGGTCTTAAAAATAAAAGGATGTAGAGTGATAAAGAGTGGTGTAGCTTGGTGAATGGACAATGGTATTTGATTTGGACCAAAGGATTATAAATATGAATGAACACAAAAAATAATCAACAAGTAATGGTTTAAAGGGCAATGATAGTGATTTTTAATTATCTGATGGATAAAGGAAGTGTAGTTAACTGGATAGGTAGGCAGAGGTTTTGAGTGTCCAGTGATATTAATGGTGATTGGTTGATATAATATTTGGAATAGTTGGAGATGGATTGACCAACAACAATGAGGCAAGTGAAGGCCTGTAATA